ATTCTGAAATTCCGAGGAAATCCAATATCCATCGAGGGATCGAGGGATCGTTGGAAGAAGCTTCAATAGGATCTCCTTGTTAGAAGTATTTCAACGATTCCAACTCTGCATTTTGCTTATCTCACTTTCTCCTATCTTATTTCCATCTTTTTCTATTGCATAGGGGGATTGTCACGAAAATGCTATCTTCAAATTTGTCCAGGTTGGTTCGTCCGTCTTCTAATTAGTCCTTTAAGTATTCCGAATTTCACAAATTCATTCTGCCAATTATCGATTCTGACAACTTTTCATTCGCATATCCAATTCTTCATCTTCTTCGAGTGACTTTCTTAAGAAATAAAATAGTGAAAAATAAATGAAAAAAATTCACGATAAAAATGATAATCTTCTTAGAAACGTTTTCATCATTTTCTTTTTTTCTCAGACAAATAGTTGTCTCACAAAGGGAGTTCTTTTTAACGTAGGGATATAACCCATCTATCTATCGCAAAAGAAAAATCTTTCGGTGATACGTTCGTATTATTGATTCACCTTTGACTCCTCGAAGTGAAGAAGTCTCTCTCTTCTACGTTCTTCTTTTCATCTACTATTTCGTCTAACCTTTCTTACCTACTATTTTCTCGATTATCCTATCTGCTATTCTCTCGTCTTTTTTTTTTTTCTTTCTTCTTTTCTTCCTTTCCCAAAAGATTTCAAAGTCGGGTTTTACCGAGTGCCATACACTAAGAAAGAAGACGGACTAAGTGATAAAAAGAGAAAAGGATAGGAGAGAAATAGAAAATCGAATTGGTATTCTTTAGGTGTATACCAGTTTTCGGTTGGATTAAAGGGTCGATCGAGCTCAAGTAGATTCCTCCAAAAAGGGCTTTTCTCAGTCGCGTCGTATCGATCCGGTACAATGAAACCATTTCGTTTCTCTCTCTCTCTCTCTCTCTCTCTCTCTCTCTCTCTCTTTAACTTTTTCTTTCGGCTTTTTCATGCACCAGGTTGATTCTAACGATCCCACTTTTGCTGAGTGTCCAATAAGTGGAAAATTAGAACACACGTTGGTTATCATCATCTTTTTCAATCTTTAATTTTCTTTGTTTCTTATTATTTCTCTCTCTCTCTCTCTCTCTCTCTCTCTCTCTCTCTCTCTCTCTTTTACNTACTTTTACTTTCACTTTTTTATGTTTTTTTTTTTTTTTTTAGAAGAACAAGTAAAGTGCAATTTTTAGTAATACTGATGAAACTTTATGATACAGAACTTTGAGTAAATCTGAGAATAGAATGTCGGGGTTATTCGTATTTACGTTAATTTTAATACCGTTATTATACAGCAAAAAGGATAAAGTATAGAGTATTCTGTAGAACTTGAATAAATCTGTTTAACGATTTAAACCCTCGAGCTATGAGATTGTTCCTTCGGGAAAGGTTATAATGACCACTTATTAAATGTAACTTGGCATAAGCCAGTCTGAAATTGTAATTAGTCTTGCAAGATATTATCTTAATATTTCTTATTTTTATTATTATCATTTTTATCTTTGTCTATTTTTTTTTTTTTTTTTAAGACATAAAACCACAACAGAAAAAAAAACGTACACTCGTTTATTTTAATGTCTTCTTTTATGTTCATTTTATTCATTGAATATTTTATTGATTTTATTTTATTTTATTTTTCAAATACACCATGAAAAATTTTTAATTACACGAAACACGATATCATCGGCCAAATGTTAAGACCATGGTTTTTTTTTTCGTCCTATTAAATTTCCTGCAAAATATAATTTTTTGTTTAACTTTTAACAATCTCAAATATATTCTTCATTTTATTCTTTCGTTTTTTTTTACTCTCTCTCTCTCTCTCTCTCTCTCTCTCTCTCTCTCTCTTATATTATTGGAATACTAGAAAATAACTTGAAAGCTCTCGTGAAAATTTCATTCTAATAAGACTTAAATTCACATTCGTGAAAACGAACGAAATAGAGTTGAAATTTAAAGTAGAATTTTATTGTAACAATCGTGATCGTTACAACAATTAGCATCGTTATTAATAAATCGTTACCGTTATTATATTTATTATTATTATTATTATTAATTATCATTTAGTACAGGGRTCGGCAAACTGATTTTGGCGCTCTTTGGATTTGAAGCTGCGGCTCTTTAGTTAAAAGAGTTCAAAAACACGTAAAAATTGTTCTGAATCGATTAACACGAGGATTAGGCACTGATGAATAAATAGATTAGTTTTTTTTTTTTTTAATCAAAAAACTTTATTTATGCGAGTACTATTTATTGTTGGCAAGAAGAAACAATTTTAAGTGGCTCATTAAAAACTTTGAAATTTTGTTAATTGTAATATTTGGCTCTTCCAACTCAAAAGGTTGCCGACCCCTAATTTAGTATCATCATAAGAAAAAAAAAAGAATAAAAATCAATGAAATAATTTTCGCATCAGGAGAATTGCGTCCAGGTTGCGTCAAGGTTGCGTCAGAGTTTACTTAGAATAATTTGCAAATATAATTAAAAGTAAAAATGTCAATCATTTGATTGATGTTAGTTACTTGAAAAAAAAAAAAAAAAATATGTGTCTACGACTAAGGGAATCGTAGAATGAAATTTATTTCAAAAAGAAAAATATCGCGAAATATATTTACGGTACATTTATTTAATCGAATAAAATTAATATCCGTTGATTTATCCCGTATATTATATTATATAATACGACACATTATCGAATCCAGCTATCATCGACAGGATATAATATCGAAACACATTGAACATCGAAATTTATCGACATTTAAATGCCAATTCGTTCCAGTAATTGCAAATGATCGGAATACTTCATATCATATGTGGAAGCTTTCGTGGCTTTCGTAACATGATCGAGCTTAGGTAGATAAAAGAGCATGAAATTAAAACGGATACGTGAGAACATTGATGATAACGTTGATTATTATTATTATTATTATCATGATGATTATAATTACGATGATAATAAAATTCCACGATTTTACGATCTTCTAAATCTTAAAAGTGCATCGCATCAAAATTCAACAAAAATATTCTTCCTTTTAAAAAATGAAAAGATACATATATATATATATATATATATATATATGTGTGTGTGTGTGTTGGGGATGCAAGTTATATGCATGTGATAAATCTTATATCTCACAGTTGAATTGTCTGTTAGTCATTATAACGTTAATAACGTTCATTTGCAAAACATTATAAATATATATGTATCTGATTAAGCTGTGTATATGTATGTGTGTGTGTGTTTGTGTTTGTTTTTAGTACAGTTTAAAAAAAATAAGAGGGGAGATAACGAGAAAAAACGATCATAAATTATAAACCGTGGTAGTACCTATCCATGGTCCTGTCTCTCTTTTCCTTTCTTTTTTATCGTTTTATTGTTCTCTCTTCCTTGCCACGAATGAGAAACAGACAAATGAATAATTCGATATTGTTTAAAAAGATAATTAATGAAAAATAAACAAATAAAAATAGAAATAACCAACACGAAGTTTGTTTAAGAGCAGGGGGGGGGGCTTAATTTTTAGCTCATAAAAAATATGATCCTTGGATAGCAAATAATTTAATTTTAATTTCATTTTTTACTAACCAAATGAACAGTAGGGTTCTTCTAATTTTTTTTTTTTTGGTTTTATTTTTTATTAAATCTTTCAAATTATATTTAGGACATTACTTCACATTTTTCTCATCTATCACGAATTCTATTTGTTCTTTTTTCTTTTCTACTTTTCCTCATTTTTTGTCTCACTCTCGTTCGTCCTATTTCTCTTTCTCTCCCTGTGTCCTTCATTCCATTCTTACTTTATTTTTTACTTTTTATTCTTTTTTTCCAAAGTCACTTTACCTTTTTCTTTTTTCTCTTATCTTTTCGTATTTTTGTTCTATTTTTTTCTAACCCCCACCCCTCGTTTCACCGTGAAACTTTTCAGCCTAATATTTACCCATTACTTCACCATGACCCAAATAGCTTCGAAGCTCTCGTTTGGATGGTATAAGTACGTTCCTTTAAGTAGATATATGCATGAACTTCATGTAAATCATCACCATTTCGACGAACCAGAGAATCCTGAGAAAATAAGATATACTCCACTGTGTGTGTATATATATATATACCTTTATATATACCTTTATATACTAATTCATGCATATCAAAAAAAGAAAAAGAGAGATAAAGTGAGAAAAAGAAATGCATAATAAAAATGAAGACTTTTCATTCATAACAATTTATTAAATATTTCTAATTAACCCTTCTGAGTGCTATGGACGCATATATTAGCGTTTAATAATATTAATATAAAATAATGTAACGTTTATATTAATTAATTAAATTATTAAATATAATTGATTATTAATCAATTATTCCGTTTTTACAAGACATTTTAGTTAAAAGTATTCACCACTCAAAGGGTTAATAAGAAATTATTTATTATTTATCAATGTTTTATAGTAATTGAAAAATAGTATTAAAAAAAAGGAAGAATAATTATTGCTACGTGATTCGTAATAAATAATCGGGCTTTTTTTTTTTTTTTTAATAAACGACTTGGCACTTATCTTTAACAAAGCACATCCATCGATAATGATAGCCACAAGGAGTACTCGAAAATTGTCCCTTTGTCTTTCTGTTTCTCGCTTTTTTAACTTCTCTCTCTCTCTCTCTCTCTCTCTCTCTCTCTCTCTCCTCTCCTCAATGATACTTTTTGTCCTTTCTTCTCATTCTTTGTCTTTCTCTTTGTTTGTGTTCCACTTTTATGGTTGGCTGCTTTTTAAAAGAGTCCTTCCCTTTGGACACTTGATCGATATTAAAAATGGTACTCTATTTATTTTCTTTTTATATTTTTCACGTTTAACGTGACTTGAAATATTTTATAATACACTCATTTCAAACATTTCTTAATTATTATTATTATTATTATTTATAACAATTGATATAAGAAAAAATTGTTTTAAAAAATATTTGTTCTTTTCTAATTTTTCAGATATCGAAGAAAGCAAAAGGAAAATATACAAGATGGAAGTCATAATCGATAAGATTTCAAACAATTCAACGAATCTTAATAAACTATCGATGATAATAGAACATTGACACAATTTTGACAATTGAAATAAAAAGTATATCGACTTTAAAGATCGAATCGATTTTCGATAAGCCGATCATGATGCGTATAGCGAAAAGATGATGACCAGCGGTCGTTGATGACCGCTCGAGAAACCGAATTTCTATACTCCTCGTCTCAGAATGGAGGAAAACGTCAGTGCAGCAGCTAATGCGACAATCGACAATTTCGATTTTACAAATCCCTGGGTACTACTAAGGGCCACCATATTGGCTCTTTTGATACTCGTCACTATAGTTGGTAAGATATCTTTCACATTTTTATTTCATACACTTCAAATAACCCCATCTTGTTACTTTCAATAATACACGTGTGACCTTTACACATGATTTTTTATTTTTATATTTCATATAAAATATTAAATATTATCCTAAAAATATGCATACATTAAAAACAATATTAGACTTCAATTTTTATCATTATTAATAAGAATATTTGATTTGTAAATATTTTTTAAAGTGTTTTATTATTAATGCGCGCCTGTAAGAGTGCAACCCTCCAGACACACTTTGAAAATGTTGCCCGAAAGATAAGCAACCCGTAATACACGCGTGTATAAACAGTTTTGACTGGAAAATAATTCCGTCCCAGTAGATGGCACTCGCAAGCAACATTTTCAAAGTGTGTCTGGAGGGTTGCATACCAACAGGCGCGCATTATTAGAATTAAATTAATAATTTTAAAAAATGAAATTATATATATATTGATCTAATTGAAAAGTAAAAATTCGTAACTAAATTAATATTGGGTTCGGCATATAACTTGGTGAAATCGAATTTGGATTTTCCCTTTCTTCAATCACTTCAATCACTTCAATCAGTCAGGATGATATATTCGTTCAATAATTGTCAATAACAATGTAATAACTAATAAGCTTTACGAACAATCGATTGAAATTAGCACTTATTGTTAGATAGTTAGTTGTTAAACGAACTGGATAGCTTTGCCGTTAACTCGAACCTTGTGGGTGTATCAGTAGTATAATTGATTTCGAAACCATCACAACCATTAATCGTCATTCCTCTACTCTAACTATAGTTACCCATACACGACCATCTTACAACCCTTCTCACCATGACACAGGTATCATCTATCTATGTATCCGTGTAATTATAATCACGTTAACTAACTTCTCCATAGGCGTAGATAAATTATTCAACATTCTTCCATACATAAATTATATCATTGCAAATAACTAAATTTACATATTTAATCCTTAAACCATGTTTACATCGTTGACAAATATTTTATGCATTCGTGTAATTATTAACATGCTAATATTATTTCTCATAAGCATGTTAACACAAGTTACTATTAGAAATTAGAAAATCTAAACTCTTTCAATCGTCAAATCTAAAAATCATTGAAATAAAACTTGAACAAATTATCATATTTTTTAAATTTAAATTCTAATAAAATTAGATAATTTAAATTTTGATAGAATGTATAAAATTAATCAAATGTCAACATAGTGTTATCATCAATAAAAGTTGAAGAATTTAAGAGAGGTCCCTTGAATCATGGTTGTGAGTCTAAGCCTATGTCGAGGGTTACAAGATAACAATGTCTTCGTCGTCGTAGTCATTGATGTTTCGTCTTACCAACAAACACTACCTTACTAACTCATCTATATATATATATATATATTCATACAAGTATAACGGGTGATCAATTTAAAGCTGACATGTTTCGACCGCATATAATCTGTCAACGACAGTGACGCGGGTAATCGCCATCGTATTAAATACTTCTCCCTACTCTCGACCTATCACGACCTGCATACCGATACCCTTACTTATTTTTCTCTTCACAAAATTCTTATTTACCCTATTATTTTATTATTTACTTAATGAATTTTTTTTTTTTTTTAATTCAATTTCATTTCGTCGTATATCTCTTTGGGTCTCATTTTTTTAATACACCGTAATGCACGATCAAATAAATTAATCACGAGTTTACGCATACACGCTATTTTTTTTTTTTTTTATACGCTTTGTACAATCTAACGAAGAAAAAGGTAAAAGCGTAATAATTTTTCTATATATATATATATATTTATTTTAAATACCATTGTATTTATTTGATTTCAAATGAATTTATTGCACACACATATACCGCATATTTATGCATACAGAAAATGAGAGAAAACTCTTTTTTTTTTTACGTTCTATGCAATATAAAGAAAAATGAATGGCAAACACGTACTAATTAACTAAAAAATATATTTTAATTACGTAATTGATTTTATGTCAAATAAATTCTACTTAAAATAAATTTATATGAAATATAAAGAAAATTTGTATACGATTTATATACATTTTAAAAGAAAAATACTAAATAAGTATAATTATCGTAATATTTCATTTTTTTTTATCAATTTCTTTTACTTGTACTAACATATATTTTTATTGTCATAAATTATCAAATCAATTCTGTATTCCCAATAAAAATATTGATTGAAACATAGTTACTTCAAATTATTCAATCAAACAAAACGATCTATATTTATTTTCAATATTTATTTGACTATTGTGTTTCATTCGATATAACATATATATATAATAGATATATCATATTTCTAAACGTTAACTATTAATAAAAATATCTTTCAATTAATTTTTCAATGTACGTACAGATAAATAAAATCATTTCATTTCTCAATAACATTACACGTTATTATTTAAAACAATTATTTTCTCCAAATATAAAATAATAAGACGATAAATATTGTAAACGTTATCAAGTCCCATAAAAATATTACGAAATAATTTATATCACTGAAGAAGAATAAGAAGAACGATAAAATGTAAGAAAGAATGGTTGGTGATGGTGGTGGTGGTGGTGGTGGTGGTTATAGTGTCCGATATTATAACACGTAATTTCTCACATCGTTCTTCTTTTGTATACTTAAGGGATGGTAGTAGGTCTTCGTAGGACCACTACATAAGGGAGAGTAAAATTTTTTCTAAGATGGGCACCATACCCATCCCCCACCATATTACGATATCTTTTCAAAGAAGTATTACTCTCATTAATAATGCATGACCGTCCAAAGTTTTTTTCTCATACTAAACTTCTCACCCTTACCCTTACCCTTACCCTTACCCTTACCCTTTCTTTAACCCCCCACCCATTTTCCTATCGAAGAAAGTATCCTCGATTTGAAAATTTTTCTATGAAAGGCTTCTTCTACTCGACCGAGTCTTGGATTAAAAAGGAAAACCGTGCAACCTAGGATGAAAGTAGAACCGATCAAGAGGTTCTACTTTTTTATTCCAGTAAATATCGTTATGGGCTTGTCTTGAAGAAAAAAAAAATATATATATAAAAAGAGAAGGGTGGAGGAGGGTGGGAGTAGGTTAAAAGTACTCGTTGGAATGTTGCCAAGAAATGGAAAGTTTTCAAGCTATACGATATATTATAAAATCGTTAGGAACAAATTGACGAGATTTTTTAATGACTAATATATATTAAAACAACGTAGGAAAATTTAGTTGTAGAGTAAATTGGGTATTCGAGCAATAAACAAAACGTATACGTCATATTCATTTTAATTATGTCACGAAGAGAAAGAAAAAAAAAGAAAGAAAGAAATATTACACGTTGTGCACTCGAAAAGTCAAGAGAAATTGTTGCTTTTTCACTGGTTATAAATCGATTCGACGGATCGACCATTTATATTTGTTTCTACGTTTTTTTTTTTTTCTTTTTGGTTTTTTTTTATTACATCGTCGAATATAAAATACGTGCTTGAGTGTAAATGCGTGTATTGGTCATTAAAAAAAAAAAAAAAACAAATTGGAAGGAAAGTTCAAGTTCAAAAAAAAAAAAGAAAAAAAGGATATTGTAACAAACTATGGTAAAGTCCTAGACTGTAAAAAATSGACAAAAGGAATAATAAATAAATAAATAACCGAAAAAAAGGGGGCTTAGGAATAAATCGTGGTTTAATTTAAATGAAATACGTGACCGCTTAACTGGAACGTCTTGAATCCATTGAAGAAAGGACCGTTACGTAGGCATTTTATTTTCACTGTGTGGTACAAGTGGCTTTAGGAGTCGAGAGGATAAGGGCCTTATAAAAATGTCTATACATATTTGACTTTTACACACGTGCACGTATGAGAACGCTTAGTCATGTCCAAAATGTGCCCGTAGCGAATCTTAAAACTGTGAACGACACGACGACGACGACGACAACAACGAAATCATTGACGACGATTTAAAAACACTTTTAGTCAAAGGGTGCTCAAAAAAGAGAACATTATTTTATTATTCTATAATCGAACATTTTATTTTTAATATTTTATTAATAATTAAGGGTGCCCCATCGATACACACATCTTTAAGTCCTAATTCGCGATTAATAAAATAATATTGCAATTATAAATTGAGATATAAACAATCCTATCTTTCAAGTTGAATGAAACTGCACACAGTGCATAATTTATATATATTAAGATATACTTTCATTTGTTCTTCAATATAATTAACTAATATTTTATTTTTAAATAACTTAGATATAAATTATTTTTAATATTTATATAATTCATATTTATTTTTACTGAATAAAATTGAATGATCGAATATTTGAAGTTTAGAAAAACATATTTTCTTTAGGGTAGTTCTCTCGATATGTTTTAGATACTTGGTATGGGTAAGTTTCATAGAAAATTACAATTTCCAAGTTAGGAAGGTTCACCTTCTAGTCAATCTAATCAATGATAGATACATCGCATCGTACTTCAGCACAACTATAACATTTTAAAACTCTGTAAACTCGATTTGATACATACATATATATACACACATGTGAGTAGAAAAGTATGTGAAGGATGAACGGAAATTGTATCACGTATACTTTACCTTGCTCAGGTATCTTCTACGATATCATACTTTCGAAGAATCGATTACGAGAGAAAACCCCTCCGTCCCCGTAACTTCATAGATATCGTAGTGGTGTGAGAAAAAAAGGGGGCGAGAGGTAGCAAGTGTGGGCTGGTTGGTTGGTTGGTTGGTTGGTTGGTTGGTTGGTTGACGCTAGGATAATCCTTGTATCTCATGGATTATGGTCGATAAGTTGAATGAGAAAAGAAACAAGACAATAGAATCGAAAATCCGGATTGTCCTGATTTAACTTCCTAATCCAATACATTATTCTTTTTTTATTATATGTAATACATAAAAATAAAAAAAAAATAAAAAAATACAAACAAATTTAAAATAATTCTTTGAAAAGAAACAGATACTCCAAAACTTTGAATAAATAATTTCTTGATGAATACAGTAATTAAATTCAACAATTCGTAATAAAAAATAATTAAGCTTTTTCTTTGATCAATTTTCTACTTTCAATTGTAAGGGTTTCTGTTAAAATTAGTTATCAAATAATATCACTTATGAATTTTCATAGTTAAAACTTGAAGTATATTCAAATGTGTAATACAATGTATAATAATACAACATTTCACGAATAATTTTTACGTTATTAAAATATTCTGGTGAATTAAGTCGGACCAGAGGGAGGCAAGCAAGCAAGGAGGAGGTGGAGGGGAGGGAGGGGGGAGGGGGGGAATAAACTTATTGTTATATTCGAAGTAAATTATATTATATTACGAGACGAGGAATCTCTTGAAGCATGTACCGCATTACCGACTAAAATTTAAAGCAAAATGCACTCACTCTTCTCTCTCTCTCTCTCTCTCTCTCTTTCAATGTCTATCTCCCTTTCTCCCTCTCTCTCTCTCTCTCTCTCTTTCTATTTCTTTATTTCTTTCTCTTTCATTCTTGTACGCTTCCGTTCCATTTTCCCTTTTAGTTTTTGAATTTCCATTTGCCTCCATGGAAGAGAGAACACGGGATTTCTATCCCACTTGTATTTCGTAATAGTTCTCCGATGCTCGAAAATTCGAATTCAAGGAAATAATAATAGAAAGCAAGTTTAGGATTACAAATGCGTGGAATATTGTATGGACTAGAAAATTATAATGAAATATCATCTTAATATATATATATATAAATTATATGTCACGTTGTTTGTCCGCAATGGACTCTTAAACTACTGAACCGATTTGAATCAAATTTTACACACTGTGCAATTTCATCCAACTTAAAAGATAGGATTGTTTATATCTTAATTTATAATCGCAATATTATTTGATTGCGAATTATGACTTAAAGACGTGTGAATCAGACTGATTGTAAGCTACAACAACTCATGGCAGGGCACCCCTAGTTAATATGTAATATATATACGTAAATGTGGTGGTATAATGTATGAAAATACGAAATTCACGTTACTCTCATCAAACACACACTCTTTTTCTATGTTAAATGTAAAAATAATAATAAAATAATAAAAAAAAAGAAGGGAAAATTCGAAGGGATGAAAAAAAAACAGGGGAGAATTGGGAGAGAGAGAAAAAAAACTAAAGGGGGGGGGGGGGTTGCAACTTTAGACGAGTTACGGTACGTTACTCGTTTAAGTGCTTCTCCGTGCGCGGTGCGATCATTTTTCGTTGTTTATGGTTGACCTATTTGTTGTTC